CAAAACATAATTTAATAAAATGGCATTTTGCAAAGCTATAAAACTCTTAGCAGGAAACAGGTGTAAATCTTCATGATGGTGGAGTAGGCAATGGTTTCTTAAATATGTATGGCATCCAAAGCATAAGCAACAGAAGGAAAAACAGATAAACTGAACTTTTTATTTTTATTTATTTTTTAAACATATTTTTATTGATTTCAGGGAGGAAGGGACTGGGGAAAGAGATAGAAACAAGGATGATGAGAGAGAATCACTGATTGGCTGCTTCCTGCATATCTGCTACTGGGGATTGAGCCTGCAACCCAGGCATGTGCCCTGACTGGAATTAAACCGTGACCTCCTGGTTCATAGATGGACACTCAACCACTGAGCCACACCAGTTGGGCTATTTTTTTTGTTTTGTTTTTGCTTTTAGAGAGAGAAAGGGAGAGGGAGAGAGAGAAAGAAACACAATTTGCTGCCTCCTGCCTGCCCTAAGGGGGGATCGAGTCAAAACCAGGTATGTGCCCTGACCAGGAATCAAACCAGCAACTTTTTGGTGCATGGGATGACTCCCAACCAACTGAGCCACACTGGCCAGGGCTGAACTTTCAAAATTAAAAACTTCTCTACATAGAAGGACACTATTAAGAAAATGAGACGACAACTCATAGGATGGGAGAAAACATTTGCAAATCTTAAATCTGATAAGGGTCTAGTATCTAGAACTTATAAAGAAATTTTAACCCAATAATGAAAAGTCAAACAATCAAATTTAAAAATAAGCAAAGGACATTTCTTTAAAATAAATATACAAATGGTCAATAAAAACACGAAAAGGTACTCAACATTTTTAGTCTTTAGGTAAATAAGTCAAAACTACAATGAAATACCACTTCATACCCACTAGGATGACTATAATAATAATAACAACAACAATAATAATAAATGTGGAAAATAAGTGTTGGTGAAAATGTGAAGAAATTAGAACCATTATACATTGCTGATAGAGGTTCAGACACTTTGGAAAATAGATTTGCAGTTTCTCAAAATTTTGGTTACTATATGACCCAGTAATTCCATTTCCAGGTATATAACCAAGAGAATTGAAAGCATATGTTTCCATATAAAAACAAGGTACACAAGAACTTGTACATAGCAGCATTAGTAATAGCCGAAAGGAGGAAATTACCCAAATGTCCACCAACTGATCAGTGGGTAAACAAACTGTGGTGCATCCATACAATGCAATATTATTTAGCCATTAACAAGGAATGAAGTACTGATAGATACTTCAACATGGATGAACCTTAAAAACATATGAAGTGAGAGAAGCCAGATAGACAAGGCCATGTATTGCATGATTTCATTGAGATGAAATGTCCAGAACAGGCAATTTATAGAGACTGAAAGTAGATTGGTAATTAATAAAGTGTTGGGGGAGGGAGGAATTAGGAGTAACTGCTAACGGATTAGGCATTTCTCTTTGGCGTAATGGAAATGTTCTGCAGTTAGATGGTGGTGATAGTTATACAAGTCTGTGAATATACCCCTGAATTATAGTTTAAAAATGGTTAAAATGGTGAATTTTATGTTATGTGAAATTTATCTCAATGAAAAATAGCATTTCACAAGCTTTAGATGATATCTATATTTGTTTTTTAAAATTCTTTATTATTGAAAGTATTACATATGTCCCTAAGTTATACCCTTAGTTGAATCATCTTATTTAAATTAAGCTTCTGTGCTCTTTATTGCAAGAAAGATTTGCTTCTTTTTATATTCTTTCAGGGTTTGATTTTGAGACAGCACCAGATTGGGGAAGGCACATGCTTCTTGAGTCATGTCAGGACCTGTACTGGGTCATTGTTTTGCTTCAACTTCTCTCTCTTTTTCTATTTATTGAATTTATTGGGGTGACCCTGGTTAATAAAATTATATAGTTTTCATGTGTAAAATGCTATAATACATCATCTGTATATTGTAGTGTGTGTTCACCACCCATGCCTTGACTTCTGACCAGCTAGCTTTATAGTCTCACCTTCAGAAGGTAGGGCGGAAACCTGGCCATCACCCAAACTGGCTCTATCTAATGGCAAAACATTTGACAAATTTAGTCTAAAAATCAAGCTAGAGAAATGGACTCTTGGAAGTTAGGCTTATGGTTGGTATGGTGGGGAGAGGGGATGATTAGGATTGGAAGGAAACGTGAGGGAGGTTTCTGCAGCGCTGGGGATAATTCTGTGTTATGATCTGGACACTAGTTATATGGGTGTGTTCAATTTGTGAAAATTCACCTGCTTATAATACCTGCACCATTCTGCATTCTTGTTATACTTTGATAACAAGTAGGCAATTCAGTTTAGCCTTCTGATGTGTGTGTATGATTTCAACAGTCACTTAAATGGGGACCAGAATCCACTGAACTGACCTGCTGCCTTAGAGATGACACCCTGCCACGGCCATTTTAAAAGTTTCTGTTTCCATGAATACGACTCTGAGCTCAGCATCAAACTGCTGATTTCAAGAGCAAGGCTATGGCTAACCTGTGGCTCCTGTGCACTGGGGCTGCTGGAATGGAACCCCTTTGGATGAGGTGCCACCCTGGGTCAGGGATAGCGCTGCTGGGCAGGTGTGCCCCATTCCCTGCTCTGTCGTCAATGTCAGACTCAGAAGCTGCTGACCTGGTGCTTGCTCTTTCCACCTGGCCCCAGAGATGTCCTTGCGGGTGCCCACTGCAAACGGATCCAACTGGCCTTCTGGTCCCATATCTAACATGTTGGTGCTGAGTGTACTTTGGCATCAAGGGGTTTTGGGTTTTAGAAGGGTGATACACTGCTTATACTGTGGAGTCTGTAATACTGCCAACACGGCCTGGGGCAGCTCTCTAATGGGACAATGATGAATATTACACTAAGTAGGGTGAAGACTACATATAAATGGTCTCCTGTCAGTTCAGGCCAGGGTGTGCTATCAAAGGGGTTTTCATCAAATTTTAAAAAACGTTTTGGTTTTCTAAGTTTAGGGTTTGGAATTGCTCATGAGAGAACATAGATCTGTATCAGCCAGTGTTGCCATCAGGCCTTTCTTTCTTAAAAAAAAATAAAATAAAATAAATAAATAAATATATATATATATATATATATATATATATATATATATTTATATATATATTATTGATTTTTTACAGAGAGGAAGGGAGAGGGATAGAAAGCTACAAAGATCAATGAGAGAGAAACATCGACCAGCTACCTCTTGCACACCCCCCACCAGGGACGTGCCCACAACCAATGTACATGCCCTTGACCAGAATCGAACCCGGGACCCTTCAGTCTGCAGGACGGATGCTCTATCCACTGAGTCAAACAGGTTTCAGCATCAGGCCTTTCTTGACAGAGGTTTTAATGGGCGGAGTTGCTAAGTAGGAAAGGGAATGGGGGAAAGAATCAGATAGGGAAGGTCACAGTGTGCCTAGGCCAGAGTGTGCTACTGGGCCACTCCATGTCAGTGGAAGAGTGGCCGGAAGACAGCCTCGCTGAGGTGGGACGGGGTGCCTGTGCAGCACACTCCTTTTTTGGATTCCACTCTCCTCTGTGGCACCTGCTAAGCTGTCAGCGCTTGTTAACATTTCATTGATTCCTGCAGCACATTAGGGCCTTCCTGAAGCGCTCAGCCATAGCCAAGTTTATAATGTAAAATTTCTGGAGATTAATATTTATATAAATTAAGCTAATTTAGGGATGATAAAACTCACTTGGACATGTGTTTTGAAGAGATGGGAGTTGAAATCCCTAAACAAGAAGCCAGCGAAGCCTTTCTTGGAAAATTGATTTGTCATCATTCCTGCTGATCATTCAACAGGACATAAGTCCACTGTGGGAATGACTTCTAGATGCCTTTCTTCAGGATCATCTAACGCAGTGGTTCTCAACATTTCTAAGGCCTAGACCTTCTAATACAGTTCCTCATGTTGTGGTGACCCCCAACCATAAAATTATTTCGTTGCTACTTCATAACTGTAACTTTGCTACTATTAATGAATCGTAATGTAAATATCTGTGTTTTCCATTGTTCTTAGGCTCTACAGCGGCGGTTCTCAACCTGTGGGTCGCGACTATTACATCCATGTTGTAGCAACCCACAGGTCGTGACCCACAGGTTGAGAACCGCTGCTTTAGAGTCTAAGAACATCGGAAAACACAGATATTTACATTACGATTCATTAATAGTAGCAAAGTTACAGTTATGAAGTAGCAACGAAAATAATTTTATGGTTGGGGGTCACCACAACATGAGGAACTGTATTAAAGGTCATGGCACTTGAAAGCTTGAGAACCACTGATCTATAGGGACTGGAGGGGAATAAGCAGACAAACCTTACATCACATTGGGAAGGTGTCCCCTGGGAACCTAAACATTGTAATTTCTTTGAGATTCTTTCCAACCAGTACCCTACCCCCACGCATCTCCCCAGAGGCACCCAGACAAATTGCCTTTGGTTTAGGCATTTTCCATAGGAAGAAGGGGAGGAAAGACAATCCCATGGAGGGAACATGTGTAAAGGCATGGACATCTGAGAAACTGTGACATACGGAAGGTATCTCCAGTTCTCTGGCATCGTATCTCTGGGGCTCAGGGCATGCCCTCTCTTTTGGATGAAAGTCTGACATTGGTGAGGCTAGGAGCCAGTCACCAAGAGAGAGGAAGTCAAGCAACTTGACTTTCATCCTATAAGACAAAGGGGCATGGAAGGGTTTCAGGCAAGGCACTGGTACTAGTATTAAGACCAGTGTACTTAAGGCCGTGGCCGGGTAGCTCAGTTGGTTAGAGTGTCATCCCAATATGCCAAGGATGTGGGTTTGATCCTCAGTCAGGGCACATACAAGAAGCAAACAATGAATGCATAAATAAGTGGAATGACAAATGGATGTTTCTCAAAATCAAATTTAAAAAAAGAGACCATTGTACTTAAGCTTTTAAAAGTTAAATTAAATTTATTTTTTATTGATTTCAGAGAGGAAGGGAGAGGGAGAGAGATAGAAATATCAGTGAGAGGTGATAACATAAAAATCATGCTCAATAGGATTACGCTGAGGCCCAGGGTTTTTTTTTTTTTTTTTTTTTTTTTTTTTTTTTTAATCAATGATGAGAAATAGTGATTGGCTGCCTCCTGCATGCCCCCTACTGGGGATTGAGCCTGCAACCCTGGCTTGTGCCCTTGACCAGAACTGAACCTGGGACCTTTCAGTGCACAGGCCAATGCTCTTTCTGCTGAGTCAAACTGGCTAGGGCCTTAAGCTTTTTTTTTTCCCCCCTCTAATTTAAAAATTAAAAAAAATAATTAAAAATATTTTTATTGTGGTAAAATATGCACAACATAAAATTTACCATCTTGCCATTTTTAGGTGTACAGTTTAGTGGTATTAAATACATTGTACAACTATCACCACCATCCATCTCCAGAACTCTTTTCATCTTGCAAAATTGAAACTCCATTCATTAAACAATAATTGCCCTTTTCTACCCCCCCACCTCCCACCTTTCCCTGGAAACTACCATTCTACTGTTTGTACTGATGATCTTATATTAGTGGAATCATGCATTATTTGCCTTTTTGTGGCTGGCTTATTTCACTTAGCATAATGTTCTCAAGGTTCATCCATGTTGTAGCAAATGCCAGAATCTACTTCCTTTTTAATGCTGAATCCTTTGTATGCATATACGCACATTTTGCTTAGCCATTCATCTATCAATGGACATTAGGATTGCTTCCATATTTTAGCTATGTGAATAATGCTGCTATGAACCTGGGTGTGCAAATATCTGTTTGAGATTCTGCTTTTAGTTCTTTTGGGTACCTAGAAGTGAAATGGCTGGATTAAATGGTAATTCTATGTTTAATATTTTGAAGAATAACCATACTATTTTTCACAGTGGCTATACCATTCATTTATATTCCCACCCACAGTTCACAGGGTTCCAATTTCTTCACATCTTCATCAACAGTTGGTGTTTTTTTTCCCTTCCTTCCTTCCTTCCTTCCTTCCTTCCTTCCTTCCTTCCTTCCTTCCTTCCTTCCTTCCTTCCTTCCTTCCTTTCTTTCTTTCTTTCTTTTTTTTTATACTAGTCATTCTAATGGGTGAAAAGTGCTATTTCATTATAGGTGGTTTTTTTTTGTTTTTTGTTTTTTTGTTTTTGTATGTCCCCTTTCCATTGTGATTTTGATTTGCATTTCCCTGATGATTAAGACCTTAATTTTAGAGATCACTTCTGGAAGCAGTGTGCCTGGGAGAATGAAAGGGAAATTGAGTAGAGGCAGAAATGCCCTGTTAGGAATGATTACAGTAATCTAGATAGAGGCCTGAGGTAAGACTGTGAGTGGGTGGTGAAAATGGAGAAAGGAAATGGATGGGAGAGGAATTAAGGAGATAGACTCATGCTTAGTGCTTAGCTGGAGATTGAAGGAAAGGAAAAAATTTAGAAGGTGAGGTACCTACAGAGCAGTAAGCACATGGTATTTTCTTTAGTAACACAGATTTTTGTGCCTCTCTATATGTCAAGATTTTGCTTATTCAAAATTACCAGCTAGTTAGCGGAGAATATTAGGACTCAGATCCCTGGCGCTCAGAGCAGGTGGGGAGAAGTTTTTTCTACTGTAACTTTAGAGCTTCTTAAATGTCTCAGAAATGAGCCAGTTGTCATGCTTAAACAAATCAGGGTTGGGTTCCTTTCCTCAAGGAGTGACTGGCATCGTCAATCTATTATTTTCAAAGAATAGTTTTAATAAGATATGATTCACATACTATGCAATTCACCCATTTAAAGTGTATAATTCAATGGTTTTAATATGCGCAGATTGTGCAACCTTCACTTCAACCCATGTGAAGATATTTTCATTGCCCCAAAATGAAACCCTGTACCCATTAGCAGTCACTCTCCTATCCTCCTCCCACCCCCGGCCCTAGACAACCACTAATCTGATTTCTGTTTCCATAGATTTGCCTATTCTGGAATGTTCACATAAATGGAATCATACAGGATGTGGTCATTTGTGACTGGCTTCTTTCACTTAGCATAATGTTTTCAAGGTTCAACCATGCTGTAGCATGTATTAGTACTTTTTATTGCTGAATAACATTCCATTGTATGGATATGCCAAATTTTATTTATTCATTAATCAGTTGATGGACAGTTGGGCTGTTTCCACCTTTTGCCTAATATGAATAAGGCTGCCATGAACATTCATGTACAAATCAATCAATGATTTTAAGTGGGAATGTCTATCACATGGGGCTTGTTGCAAGAATAAAGTGAAAGGATGCATGCAAGACATCAAGTACAGAGCTTGGTACACAACAATGCAAAATAAATGGTGATTTCATATGATGGGTTAGGGATGATGATGGGAGTCTCTTTTAGGAGCTGGTGGTGACTGTTGATGGCTCCCAAACATTTCTTTCTTTCCTTTTATGCTATTCCATGGTTCCATTCCCACCTTTCCCTTTTTAGTTTCTCCTTCTTTTCTTCTGTATTTCTTTTTCCTCCCCAACTCGTGTCTTAACATTACCTGTGATTCCCTGGTATGTTGCTTAGCGCTGGTACTCTGAGGAGAGCGCCACAGCCTTTGCTATTCTTTGGGAACTAACAGGACTAAACCTTGGGAGCAAGGAGGGCAAGTCTGGGGTAAGTCTGTAAGGATTTTTGTGGACTTTCAAGGCTCCTTTTTGGTGGCAAGACTGAATGTAAGGTTTTTAGCCATAATTATCCAAGTTTTACAACTTCTTTTTTAATATGCAAATGCTCGGATTTTTATCCTTCAACCAAATGAGTGCTTCAGAGTTTTCTGTACTGCTCTGCAAGATAATTCTTTTTTATAGACATTTATCTTAATAGTAAATAAATGATCAGCTCAGAGAAAATAGAAAATAGCTGTGGAGACAACTTGCGTTTTAAAGTTCAAGTTTTTAAAACCATTTTTAAGGCAAGGTTTTATTTTATTGATAGGAAATTATTAAATTTATTCCTTTGTACAATACAGTAATCTGACCTTTTATGTGAAGAGAGACAAATATCTAATTCAATAACATTGCTTGACATCAAGTAATTGATCAAATATTTCAGTGAAGACAGTTTTATGGTTGGTGTTGGTGTTGGATGGTGTCTGCATTTGAAAGTCGCTTTTGTATTAATTTAATATGTCATTGATGTCTCTCTTACATTCATACACAGGAAGAGATGATTTCTTTTTTCTGTAGGGAGGGCCTCAAAAGCAGAGATGAACTGATACTGCAAAAAAAAAAGAAAAAAAAAAAAGAAAAAAAAGAAATAAGATTCATTAGGCCTTTTTTTTTTTTTTTTTTTTTTTGGAAAGCCTGCTATGTGAGTGCACTTTCTTCTAACTAAATTGATAGTTTATTTGCTTTTAAAGTGTAAAAGGGAAAAACAGTTACTTGAAAGAAACTCCAACTTCTGGAGCAAGGATGGCCTGCCTGTCTTTGGGAGTTCTTACTCTCCTCTTGACTGGTTTTGTGAACTGCTTCTCTTTAGTCTTCTCCAAGGACAACACTAGAATGCAAATTTGTTTTTAAAGTTAAAGTTTTCTTTTCATGTTTAAAGATATAAACTTGGGTGAGTAATCACTTTCTCAGTGTTTTTAAGCAAAAATTAAGAGTACAGATCATGAAAACATGTCAGAAAGACAGTTACATAGAGTAATATGCTACTTCAAAGGAACTAAAATATATTAAGGAAGTGATAAATGACATAAAAGAACATTAGTCAGAATTAGAAACACTTACTAATGAGGTGACAGAATTCAAGAAAGAACAGAAATAAAGGGGAAAAAATCATTTTAGAAAAGAAGACCACACCAGAGGAAACAGTAGAAAAAATAGATAGAGGGTAAAAAGAAATATAACTTAAATGTCAGAAAGAGATGAATAGAGAAATAAAAAGGAGTTGAGAGAAGTGACAAATATAGACAATAAGAAAAAAGTCTGAAATATGGATCATAGAAGCCCCCAGAGAAGAAGAAGCCAAAAGAAAGGGAACAAAACAAGCACTAAAGCTGAAAGTCGAGAAACCTTTCCTGAACTATTTCCTGAATTGTTCTGGGCTGGGATTGGAAGAGCACAGAGTGTACCTAAGTGTACTGACACAGAACTACTGACACCAGGGCATTTTCTAGAACAATTACTGGACTCTACAGAAAAGCAGATTTCTTTGAGCACTTAAGGCACAAATATCTTGTGACTTATGAAAGAAAGTAAATTACATTATTATCAGGCTTTTTGACAGCAAAGATTTATCACAGAGAAAATGGAATAATATGGGCACCAGGCCTGAGCGGGAGAACAGAGGTGGGAGTGCTGGCAGAGAGACCGATGGGTGGTGTCAGACCTGCACCCCAGCTTCTAGCAACAGGATTTGCCTTCTGCTTGCAGTGTACTGAGGTACCCATGATGGGGTTACCCAAAAAGGAGAAAACCTGTTCCGGTGAGCCTGGGCTGCCCCGGAAATGTGATAGCCAAGGAGCAGGCACCAAGGGCCAGACTGCTGTTGGATTTCAAACCAAGAGACTGGATTCTACTAGTTTAGATAAAGAGCTCTGAGTGTGTAACAGTGAAAATGGCACAATCTGCATTAACAGCACACACTGGAAGACATGACAGTTAAGGAACACACATGGACTTGTGGCACCTGGAAACGTGCACAGAAAAAGAAAATCTATAATTCTTTAATGACCAGAAGACATTCTTTCTCACCAAAATGGGTACATTCTGCTCAGTTATCAAGTTTGAAAATCTCCAGGAGACTGTGCCACTGGGCTTCCATTGTAGCCCTTTATGTTACAGCTCTATGTCCTACCACAGCCATGGTTGACTCTGTGCTGTGGTACTGGCCCTTACATACATCAGGAGGAAGTGTGAATTTAATGTCAATACATTGGACTGTCATGATTCTCTGTAATTACTCCAGCGCCATACTTGTTGGTCCTGGCTTTTTCCTTCTGGGGCAGAAACCCCCACTGGAGATCAAGTTTGCAACCTGGGCATGTGACCTAACTGGGAATCGAACTGTGATCTCCTGTTTCATGGGT